TCCGATGACATCTACCAGCCCACCTTTCCCCTCAGCTGGCCCTCTTCCTTCTCAGGCTTCGGGGAAAATGGACGAGAATGAGTTCGTTGCTGTGACCAGTACCAATGCTGCCAAAATCTTCAATTTTTACCCCAGGAAGGGGCGTGTGGCTGTGGGCTCTGATGCTGACCTAGTCATCTGGAATCCTAGGGCCACAAAAGTCATCTCTGCCAAGAGCCACAACCTGGTGAGGATGCCCCCGTCCTTAGCAGAGCCTGGCTGGACCTGCTTCCCAGGGGTGTTTACCAGGATGGCTGGCAGGTCTCCGCCTTCAATGTGGCTCTTGGAAGCCTTGACCTGTCCAGACCCACATCTACCCAGCACCTCACTCAGCCAGTGTCTTGCTTGCTGCCCCCAAGGGTGTGTGACTGAATCTGTTGATCCACCCTACAATAAGGAGACTGAGGCAGAGGAGCCACCACAAGGATAGGCTCACCTCGACCCCAACACACTCTGCTCCCTCTGACTTCCTAAGACTCTCGTGACTCGGTGGTGCTGGGTTGGTTGAGGGGTAATTCCCTCTGTGTGTCACTTGTCCGCCTCGGTTGCATTTTTTTTTTTTTCTGGGTGAGGCCTTAGCACAGCACATGCAGGTGACCTGTAGTGCTGGCCAGCCTTGGGGTCAGGGCTGAAGGGTGCTGCACCTGTGGGCCTCTCCCCAGAATGTAGAGTACAACATCTTTGAAGGAGTGGAATGCCGAGGAGTGCCCACGGTGGTCATAAGTCAGGGCAGAGTGGTGCTGGAGGACGGGAACCTGCTTGTCACGCCAGGGGCTGGCCGCTTCATTCCCCGGAAGACGTTCCCTGACTTTGTCTATAAGAGGATAAAGGCTCGCAACAGGGTAAGAGGCTGACCTGGGTGACAGGACATTGAATGGGTGGCAGGCAGGCGTGGAGTTCCCAGTGCGGTCAGTGAGCCCTTGGTGAAGTTCTGCCTCCTGGCTGACTTGGCTTTGGGTGGCATAGTGGAAGCTATTACTTGCCCCAGGCCTACTGATCATTGCCTGTTGTAGGGGAGGTGGCCAGGGGGTCCTTAGCAGGCCTGGTCCCCCCTGCGCCTCCTGTGCCCACTGCCTACTCAGTGGTGGCGGTATATACCTTCTGTTACAGTTGCCTATAGGAACTGTGGGTATAAAGTCATTTATAACCACCTCCCCGAGTACATTACCAAGAAGATGTCAACATGGTCCAGCTCAATACCTCCTGCATTCTACTGCCTCCCTGAGGGGTAGAGTATGAATGGAGGCCCTAGAAGGAGCCTGGAGAGGACAGCTTTCTATGAGGCAAGCGCAGTCCCATATGCAGGGGAGAAAGAACATGGTGGTAGAAGCTGCTTCACTTCTGCCTGCTGTCATCTGCTGAGTAGTGATAGCTCTTCCCCCTTGCCAATAAGATCTAATCCCAGTCTCAGAGGCTGGCTCAGATCAGACTGTCAAATAGACCCAGGAATCCAGAAGGAGGTGCCAGCCAGGAGCACAGGCTCATCTAACTTAATTCTTTGGGTCACTGGTCCATGCTGGGCTTCTAGGAAATGCCTCTGGCTCTGGGAGCCATTTTCTGGCCAAACAAGACCCAGAATCTCATCCCAAAGCTGCCTCCTGGTCACAGTTGGGACCAGTTCCAGGCTGCTTTGCTTTTCTGTGCCCTTCCCTGAATATTTCTGCGGCTCAGGCCACACAGCTGTGTGTGTGTGTGTGTGTGTGTGTGTGTGTGTGTGTGTGTGTGTGT